TTTCTGTCATGTTCTTCCGGAATTCCCCAAGCCTGCTGCTCACGAAGCTTCCCGAGCGCAACGAGCCTGGCCTAACAAACGCACAGACGCTGCTGGCGGAGAATAAGCAGCTGCACGCATCGGGGAAGGGCCAGGACCAGGTGCAAACGCGCGCGACTGCGCTCATCGCGCCTTCAGGAGGCGGGAAGTCCCGCACGGCGCTCGAGGCATCCTGCCACGAGTACAGCTTTTACCTGAGCTTCTCCACAGAGAAAGAGCCCGGCACGAGCATCCTGCGGGAGGCAATGCACCGATTGGAGCAGAAGTTTGCTGACACGTATGAGGAGATTCGGGGTGATGCTTCTCGCCTGCGCCAGTTTCGGAGCCGCCGCCTTCTTGACATGAGGAAATTCATTTCACGCATCCTGCTGGCCTTTGCATTGGGCCTGCGCGAGTACCTGAGGCAGCACAGAGACCGCGCCAGCCCCAAGGGCTTCCTCTTGTTCCAGCTCATCGGCATCAGTGCACAGGAGGTGAGGGCTGCTTGTTCCTTGGAAGATTAGCTTCTTGGGGCAGGGGTTCAGACACCAATCGATGTTAGTCCCTTTGCTCCTGTGATGTTTCCTGAAACGTGACCTCAATCTCGCACCCTGTCCCTTCCGCCGTCTGCACAGTCTCATCTCATTGCCATGACCTCTTTTTCCGCTGCTCCCAAGTCGCTCATGGGCCTCTGTTGTGTTTCCAGGACTGGCCGCGGAAGACTTGGGGTTGCCTGCTAAGCCTGTCAGGGGAGGCGGTGGAGCTGAAGCTGCAAGCGACGTTGGAGGAGCTGCGAAGGCTAACCAATCAGGACTTCTTCAACACCTTCCTGGACGAGGCGCAAGCGGGGATGCGGAGAATGGACGGGTACTTCCCAAGCCGTGACGAGTCGGAGGGGCGCCCGCTGCTGAACGGCTTGGTTCGGAGCCTGTACCATAGCATCTTCGCGCACTTCCACTTCAACCTGACTGGTACGTCTTGGAAGAGCCAGTCAGCCCCCATGCCAGGTTGACGTTCTTGACATTCATTTGCTTGATGTCGTTCAGCGTATTTCAGCCCTCTCTGCAGCGCCGCAGATCTGGGTTCCTGCCAATTGTCTCTGAAGTCTGTCTTTTAGGCAGGCCGCCCCAGCAGTCACTCATCTAGCCCCTCTTGCTTGAGTCCAACTTGCTTT